TTTTTTTCACGTATTTTAACTTCAATGCAAAAAAAAAAAAAAAGAGAGAAAGAAAAAACCCAACACCGTTTGATTTTAAAATGTCAAAAATAGGACAGTTCCACATTTTCTGAAGCCATTCCTTTATTCATTATCACTAGTCCTTGGTACAGTGGAAACATTTTTAGTCAACATAGTATTCAGCAGAAATTAAGATGTTCATTGCTGTTTACAGTTTGGACTTGTCAGAAGTTACTCATTGTACCTTGTTACTAATTCACATATTTTTTAAACACTTGGAAGTCATAAGACAAGCAAAACTTTTTTTTCTTTTTAAACACTAATGCTCTTTTTGATGAATTATTTTTACCTGCTGTAGACAAGAAGATTTTCTCATGAACAGTAGTTAATAACCTGGCTTTAGCTAGATGTGATTTGTTCTAAATCTGTTGCATATTTCTCAGAATATATCACAACCTGTCCCTCATTGTAGGAGACAGCTCTAGTTTTACATTCACATTCATCTATTCTGATGGCTTGGTATTACAAATATTTTAAAACTACTTTGGTTTCTTTTATGTAACAAATGCTGAAATATAGACTACAGAAAATGTTGCAGTGTAGAATCATACAATAGTTTGGATTGTAAGAAACCTTTAGTGGTCATCTAGTCCAACCCATCCGCATTGAGCAGGAACATCTTCAACTAAATCAGGTTTCTCACAGCCCCATCCAGCCTGGCTTTGGGTATCTCTGGGGATGGGGCTATTAATACCTTATAGCAAATACATAGAATTTACCATACCATTTTCCAGAATATTTTAGTATTTTATCTAATAATGCTGCCAAAGTAATTCTAAGAACTCGAGTTATTGCACTAATATTTTAGAATTAATCCTTCAGGATTATTTTTCTGTGATGGTGTCCGAGTGTGGTTATTGTATTGTCTTTATATAAAGTTTTCATGAAAATAGCCCAGGGCTTCTGGAGAGGAAACAAGGGTAAACAACTTGCATTTTTGCTCACTTTAGAAAAAGAAAGAGAAAATACACATTGCAGAAATTTCATTTCAGATCTGTAATAACTTCTTGTTCTGCTGTTAATGGAAGTAAAAATGCTTTCTAGCGAAGTGTGTTGGATCTCCTCTTTCAGCAGCTGTGAACTATAAGAACAACAGTGTCTTAAAAATGTCAAAGCGGAGATCTGGATTCAAACTTGTGGTAGGAAGGAGACAGTCTAGTCTGGTTCCATTTGAGAAAGAAATGAGAGGTTTGGATTTTTTTTTTTTTTCTTAGTAGTCAGAACTGCTGAAAGATTGATATTGGTTGTGAATGTAGGTACAAGCGAGTTAAGAAAAACACCTTGGACTTTAGGCTGATCACGTGAACTTCGTTATATTAATAGGTATTATGACATTGTAATTATAAATACAATCCTGCATAAATTTTTTGTAGCATTTTTTGTAATTTAAGACACATAGGGAACTATGCTTCGTCAGGACACCACCAGTGTACTGTTGTCTGAACAGTCCCTACCTTATTAGTTCCCAAATACGGAAGATACTTGGTGCAGGCTGTCAGGTGGCCATGAGACCGAGTGCCATCTTTGAATTCCCTCCCTGCCCAGATCTGCCACCAGAGTTGCTGTGAGATGCCGAGCAAATTACATAACCTGACATAGTCTCATTTAGTCCCTAATTGTGTGTTACTAATTTTCTTAATACCCAAATTAAGGCACCTGTGACCAGACAGAAAGCTGTGCAAACTTCGCTGCTGAAACAAAATATAATGAGAACAGTGCTTTTATTGTGTACAATAGAACTGTGAAGTATACTTGACATGAGGGATGTCAAGACAGGCACCCAGCATTAGTCTCAGTTTCTCTTTGTTCTCCACTTTCTTACATGAAAATAATAGTATAACTTAATCATGCAAAGATTGTGAAAAAGAACTTCACGGATGTTTGCAGGGCAGTAGGTGCCATTGCAGTGAGTGACGAATTATGGACCTGAGCTTGAAACCTTTAGTAGGAAAACATGTACTACTTTTATTTATATCTAGGTCTGAACCTGCAGAAGATTCTTTGTTCTGTCTCTTATTTAAATTAATGTAAAATTGAATTCTCAGTATAGTGATCAAACAGCATGTAGGAAAGTATATAATAATTATGTATTATGGCTCAGTTGAACGCAGTTATAAATTAACACAATGTTTCTGCCTTTTGAAATGAAAGCTGTAAACAAAAAAATTATCCTAAGCAAATCTCATGTCTTAATCTTCATTCTGCTTTATTTATTTAAGCTCTTCTTTAGAGCAGTATCTGAAAACTTTACAGTCTTTATTACTTTACACTTAGAATGTTTGTATAAGCTAAGGAAATACAATCTCCATTTTATGGACTTGGAGCTAAAACATGGTCAAGATAAGTCCATAATACATTAAATAATATTGGTGTGTGAAAGTTATTGGCTTCAGTTTCTGGCTTTTAGATGTCAGCCTTCAGACTGAGCTCTGAACCTAGCTCCTTGTCTCATGAGTGACACCTGAGAAGGTGTCATCCAAAACAGCTAGACAGATAGGCAGTGTCACAGACTGTCCCCTGTGGTAGCACTCTGTTATCCAGGAGGGAGTTTGCTGAGGCCAGAATTGTGTCTGTGGTGGTGCCTCTAAGGTTCCTCCATACATTTCACATTCAGTTGTTGGGTAGAAAGGCAGAAGCAGACCTGGCGTTTGAAGATGGCTGACATGGTTGGGGGAATGCCTGTTGCCTCAAAGGCCCTGAGAGATCAGGGCAAAGGCATGGGTAATTTCTGAACTGTGTTCCAATGTAGGGATGACCTTGATGTGAGGCATGGAGTCCTGGCAGTCCAGAGCTGTTCTGGGTAGGCAGAGACACTGTCAGGGAAACTTTACAGGCAAGATAAAACTATATTCAGCATTAGGCAGGTAGCAAATGAAGTTTGCAGCATTGCAGTTTTTTGAGCTTTGCTACCTGAGCTCCATCTCAGACACCGTTAAATGCCTTTTTTGCATTGGCCAAAAGACACACATTATAATGCAATAAGTGGAACCTTGATCTTCCTTGTATGTACGTATTTTTTTCTTCCCTTCTGTTGTCCTATTCCTTATTATGGATGCATTTGGCCACTGTCAAATTGAATGATTTTTTGCATACTTGGTTGGCTGACTCTTCTTTCCTAATTTGCTGATACAGTCAACTGTGCCAGTAAAGCAATTATGCAAAATTGTGTATAAAGGTTTAATGATACAAAACAGTGTTCGTCACAAATCTAATTGTGATTCTTACCATCTTTCCATAAACTAAAGGTTTTGAAATGCTTGAATTAGGATCTCTATGGTTAATGTATATTTTGTTAAGAAATACATTTAGAGTAGCTGATAAAGGAACATTTAATGTCTATGTCACTTTTAACTTTGGAAGAAAGCAGTAAACGAAGATAGTGACTTGGAATTGTTCAGATAATGGTTTATATGCTTGCAGGTGGTGATTATGAAAAGTCTGCTTTATTACATGTCTCATTAGGTTATGCTGTTATGTATTTTTCATTACAAATGATAACTATCTATGGCTGATTGTGCACTGAGTCTGTAATGTGATACAAAGATAAAAAAAAATATGAAGATGGACATAGTAACAAAGTAGGGTAATGTCCTTACATACTGAAAACAAAGAGATAGCAGATTAAAACAGAATTGACAGGTACAGTGTATGAGGTTTGGTATCTGGTTTCCACTCAGATAACTGAACCGGTTCTGGAAAAGAGAAGTAAAGCAGTATTTGGTAATTCTTCCACTGAAGCTGAAAATCCTATTGGCTTTTCTTGGTCCAGAACAGAGCTTTTAGCAACATTTCAAAACTGGTATTTCTGCTTCACGTTTGCATTGATGTTGTCTGATTTCTGCCCCACTGCTTTCCTCAGAACCCTGGCTGGGATTTAATCCTACCACAGGAAGTATTAGTGAGATATTATTAGGACTGATATTTAGTAGAGTCTCATTTGTCAGGCCATTATGTACTGCAGGTAGAGACTTTTGGCCATAGCCACAACGGACAAACTGCTTCCCCTTGGCTACTGTCATCTACTGCATATGAGGAGGGGGAGAGTGAAAAGTGGCTCTGTCCCTTTCTTGGTTAACAGTTCTTGCTAGCTGTGTGTCATCTTGGCACAGAGGAAGCTTTAAGGACTATAAAGAAAGGGAATAATGAGGAAACCTGGTGATGCTTTCTGCTACCTCCTTGACTGGGAGGGAAGCTGGTCACATTTGGATGGTGAATTATGAAGGTGAGTTCTGTTCTCTTTGGTGCTCTGTGTAGTCAAATGTGTGACGTATTTTATACTGAAGACAGCAGTCTGTGGCTTGTATAAAAAGCTTTAACTTACTGCTTTCTGAAAACAGAGGCCTGAAGCAGTCGCAGAGTTTTCAGGATTGTTAATTGTTTGTGTACATGAATGAGCTTATAAATGGTAGTTTTTGCAGGCTTCCAAAGCTCATTGAGGGTATCTGTGTCACTGCTGGAGAAAATAAAAGAGGAGGGTTTTTACATTTTTTTTCTACACCGTCTACTGATACTTCCAGACTTTCAGGGCTCGATGTAATGTGCCTTTAACAAACCGTGAACTTCTCTCCTACTGTGCCACTGCATCCTGCCTACATTCAGTGTAGGCAGAGAACCATTATACTAATCCAATCCCTTATCCTATCTCTAGCAAACACATGTAAATGTTTTTCTTTGAATATTTATTTTGATGCAAGGAGTGTTAAGTCTTTTATTTGGCAACACAAGGAGGACATTGTGACTTCTCAACTTTGTAACTTTAATTGTGGAAGTTCTGGTTTTCAGCTATGACACGTTTTGACAAATGTGTGGCAATCACGTTTGGCTTTAGGAGAGTAAGCCTTCCACCTCACAACAACCTTAGAATAGTTCCCTTCTGCAGGTAGAATAGCTTTAAAATGTAGATACTGAAATGAACAGTTTTTTGCTTTGTTTTTTAACAGGTACGGTTGTATGCAAGACCTGATGCAATTCGAAGAGGATCGGGGGACTATGCTCTAAATATTACCAGGAGACTTATTGAATTTTATGAAGATTATTTTAAAGTGCCCTATTCCCTGCCAAAATTAGGTAAGATTTACCCTAGAACATGAAGTTCACCCAGAGACCGGAGATTGTCAGCTTTATAAATTAAATCTATTATTACAATGCACTAGATTCAAAGACAAGGAATGTTAGGGTTGATTTACAAGGATCACTAAGTAGCAATTTTTCACATTTTCCTTGCAGAGGAAGGGAAGCCAAATTGTTTCCTCTCCAGCCTCTCACTGAAAGGAGCAGGAAGTAGTTGGTACTTAGGCTTGTTATGCAATGGGAAAAGAACTTGAACTGATAAGAACTGTCACTGATAAGTGGGTTGGATTCTTTTATGTTATTTATTTTGGTCCTTACTTTCATTAGATAGCCACTGGGAGATACTTGTTCTGGAATATTTGTATCTTGATGCCTCAGCTTTAGATGGGGAACAGAATTTAAAAGATTTGTAGAAACTAGGAACCTGTAACAATGCAAGGCAGTATTTTTTTATGCTGGCTTACGTGGTTTGTTAATGATGCTTAGTACATATCCTTAATTGTATTGTTGCTTATTGAAAGAATAGCTGTGAACTTCTTTTACTGGTCAAGTGACGTAAACATAAAAACTGTACATTTCTATTATTTTGTAAATAGTTTCTTTTCTTCCTCCCTCTCACCACAGTCAACTGTTCTCCTACACACTTAAATACTTTACACCATGTTATTACACACTCCCTCCTTCGGAGCATGTTTGATCAAGATCCAGAAAAGCCTATTACTCAGCAGCAGGAAGAGAGCTTGTATTTGATCAGAATTGGTAGAGTTGGAACCACAGGTGATCCACCCAGGAAATCAGGGTCTATTTCATTAAAACCCTTGCCTGCTGAGTAGCTTTATTAGTCTTACAGCTAACAGTGCAGGAGATAGATAAAGTAATTGATGTTGCTAGATGAGAGTGTTGCAGGTATTTTTTTTTCAAAAATGTGGTGGCATTTGTTTCTTGTAATCTTTAAATGGTGGGTTACAGGAAGTGTTCTCCTGAAGGAATATGCAGATGAGTTAAACATGGCATCTGCATCAGTCTGTCTGTGTGTCCTTTTATACCTGGCTTCAAGTGTGCAATGATGATTTCATAAAAGAAGTTACATACTTACTTAGGAGGAAAAAAAGAATAAAAACCTTTCAGTTGAATATAAAGGACAAACAGTGGGACTTTGATCAATACTTCAGGTAGTTTACTGAGGGTGCCAGGTAGAAACAGGGCACATTATTGATGATCTTGAAGGTCTTTTCCAACCTTGATGATTCTAAATATTTTTGAAATTTTGATTTGTGTATGAACACAGGTGTCTTTGTTCCCAGTTCAGCAGAACTAAGATGACTGAGTTTAAGCACGTGCTAGTAGTGTTTTTAACCCAACGGAGTGAATTTTATTTTTTTAACTAGAAGACGGAAGGTTAGGGACAGTAGTCTGGCAGGTGAATAGAAAGACTGAAAATGAAAACACTGTAGTCTGTCTACGATAGTGATTTTGGAGTAGTATTAAAGAATTTTTTGAGGGAGGAGACAAAACAGCATTAGCTATCATAGTGGAAGGATCCCTTGATACAGAAAACATGTCTGTGCTCTGAAATTTTGGGTCTGCCACCAGATGTGCTGCTCTTACAGCATATCTTGTTAAACTACTGACTAGCTTACTATGCAGGTGCTGTATGAGCTACCAAGTGATATCATGTTGGTGTCAGTGCTTTATGCTGAGCAGTGTGTGTGAGGACAAGGGACCTGCAGCCTTTGGTGAAGCACTTTTATCATCTACGTGGTCATTCATCCATTTGAACAATCTGCATGGTGGGCATGGGTGCATCTGAGGCTTCAGGTCCCTCTGATGCAGCAACACATCTGCGTTCGTTTGTTCAGTTTGTGTTTCATTGAAGTCCATTTCCACAAATACTAGGCATTTGGAATATGCTCATAATCTAAGATGATAATAAATCCACTAGTGTTCCCTATAGGATCCACTTTCTCCTGATGCTTTTGTCTACTTGACTGTTCTTGACCAGGCTTTTTTATGGGAGTTACATGCAGTCAGATGTCTGTGATTGCTGTTGCCAGCTGTGGGCTCCTCTGATTTCTTGGCAGCCTCTGTTACTATTGGGAGCTGTGAAAGAGATGGGGGAACCTTTTGTCACCCGATGACTAACATTTTTTTGGTTTTGTGGACTGTAATGGCTTCTGAATGTACTGGACAGTAGATTTGTTTGCCAGTTGATGTGAATTCTGCTAATGAATGTGAATTGGGGATGTTTCTCATTTGAATAACAAAATTAGAAGTACAACTTAGCTTGTAGATATGTGCTTTTTCCCCCCCCCCCATATCCTACTCTGAACTGGAAGGTGCTTGTGTAGGGTTGGGTTTAAGCTATTAATTGTTGTATGAATTCTATTTCTGAAAAATAAGTCTTTAAAACCCAGGTTTTTCCCAGACTATAAAATCATTATAAACACTAGGTAAAATGAGGAGTGGATAAAGCATTGAGTTTTATTTAATTCTGAAAAGATATGCAATAAGGTTTTTGTGTTTCTATGGGTGGTGAATGTAAAGTACATTTATGGAGTTGAATTGCATTTAATTTTAATCCTGCTTAAAATAATAATAATAATAATAATGATAATAGTCTTTGAACATGTAGAGCTTTGAGGATCTTTAAGACTGGAATACTTCCCCTATGGGGAATTATTAGGCAAGTATGCAGTCTTTACATGTGGACAGTTGTGATTCTTACATTGTGAATGATTTGGGGTGGAGAGGATGACTGTCTCTTTCAGCCAAGACTAAAAGGGTCACCTGATGAGGTTAGAAGGAGACAGTTGCAGAGACCACAAAAAAACCAAGAAGTGCAAGGGGAGAGAGACATGGATGAGTACTTGGCAAGGTCCTTCATGGGAGGGAATCCCATGGTTTGAAAATAGATACTGGGACATATTCGAGAGAGTGCTATTTGTACTTTTCTAGTCTTACTCTTTCTTGAACATCTGCTTGTTGCTGCTGTTGGAGAGCAGAATACTGTACTAGGCATTATTTTTGCCTGAGCTGGCAAGGCCAGCTGTATGTTCTTAGTCTTCCAGTTTCCCAAGTGTTTCTATGAAAGGGCCACAGACTGTCTTTTCCAGAATACCTTATGTACTGGAACTGAGAAACTTTACAAGTTACAAAAGACTGTCAGAACTTCATGTGTGATGCATAAACAGGCTACTTGAGTGAAGATTTTTGGGCTTCTGGGCCTTGTTTTTTCTCCCCTTAATAGCATTGTAGTGTTACAGTGTTAGTCGGATGCATCTGCTGCTTCTCTGAAAAGTTATTTTACAACTCTGTTTTGTTCTGTACTGTATTTAGACACCCAGGTAGTTATTTGCAGCACTATGGGTTGTGTAAAGGAACTCAGGTGCCTCAAGGGTCAGACACAGAATACTGAACTCATAGGCACTTTGCTTGGATTTAGGCACTCAACTGGCTTGTCTAAAATAGAAAGTTGATTGACCTGGTGTCACGATCCGTGACCTATTATATCTCCTTATTGGAGTGTATTAACTTATCAGGATTTGCTGAGAGATCCACATGTGGATATCGCCTCACACAGAGGATACAGGAACTTATGTCCTGACTTTTTTGAGTGAATAACTCGCTCAGTGCTTACTAAATTTCTAACAACAGCAAGGTTTATTGTGGGGAAAACGAAGCAATTTGGGGCAGGAGGTTCAAAAGGAGTGATTACAACACATTAAACATATATGGGTACACCTTAGTTACACATCTTATTCACGTGAGGGAAGCAGAGGGGAGGGATTTGCCCGAATGGCTGGATTATATTTTCCCCTATAAACTGGGGTAGCCGGAATTGTCTCACCACGGCAGTGCAGGTTCGATGAGCTGGGTAGCAAAGAGGCTGCAGGCACTCCAAGCGCAGGTCGCCCCCCCCCACCACAAAGCGGCGGCAGTCGGTGCGCGGCTCC